GATATAAACACTATACCAAATCAATTACTAACATTATTTAAGATTATTTAAGCATTATTTAAGACACGTTTAAGTACAAAGGATATGTGCATCTGTTTAGAACACTGATAACTTTAAAATAGCAAAACCGAGAAAAAAGTCCAAATCAATTATTTACAATTTACTTCATATCGTTTACATAATCTTAACTAACAACTAATAACACTAAATAATGTGTTCAGCTTCCACATTCTCTATTATAGAAGAATCCTGTATAAGCGTTTCAAAGTATTATTTATTTCTTGATTTACATTTACAATCCCCAGCGACCCTGAAGCTTGCAAATCTGTCTCATTAAACAAACTAAATGACTGTATTTTTTCTTAATACTTTTTGACCAACGTAGCTTTGTAAATGGCTGTTATAAGTTAAGAAGGATTCATTCACAACCACATGGTCATCTGAGTTGGTTTATATTACACGCAAAAAGTAATCAATTTAAATAATAAAAGAGTATATATCAGAGAGATATTTTCCTACATGAATACTTTCTTAATATATAGGAAACTGATATACTAAAACAACTCTTTTCTGTAAAAATAATTTAAGTTGATTGAAGTGGTGACTTTTACATTTAAATTTTTTTTATTTTTTTTTTTTTTAATTGAAATTATGAAAATCAAGCTTTATGCGTGAAACACTGCAACCTGTAGAACTATTGTGTTTGTCTCTTTTCTATGTCTCCAGTCAGAGTCCTATCCCTGTGCCCAATACCAGCTTCTGCAGATCCAAGATAGAGGCATAGTTCCTCCTGTTCTAGCATTGCTTTCCCAAATAAGCTTGCGATCCAGTCGCAGTGACCTTATTATGTGCTCTGCTTTTTCAGGATATTTATCACAGAGTCTAGAGCAAAGACTTCCTTAATATAGGTTAAGTTTGTTCAGTTGAAAAAATAAATGCCCTGTCAAGAGACCTGTTGTAAGCCTCACTTTATTCCTTCTTAACATTAGCAGTTTCTTTGAGGTTTTAGAGACACTACGATTTAGGGATGCGATTCATTCATATAGGATTCGTACCTTTGGTTTCACGCTTAACAAAATAAAACGTTATTTCATGACAATAGCCCCAAACACTTTACTTTTTAAAAGCAGGGCGCGCGCGTTTTGCTAATCATGTTAGCCTCAGCAGAAGATGATTTAAAGTAGTAGTTATACTAGGTGTAAATCATTGCTGATGATGTTAACATAGTTGTGAAACAGCGGGCGTCCAATAAAAAAATAAAATAATTTAGTTTTTTTTTTTTTTTTTTAAAAGTTATTTTTGCTGTATACTTATACCACCGGCGAGGAAGGAGAAGATATATTTATTGACAAGTTAAATGTTTAGTTGACAAATTAGTTAATAAGATAGCCAGTTTAAATATGGGCTGGCCTTAGGTTGAAAGCTGAAAACCAGACCGTCTAGTGTATTACTGGAAATAAAATAAAGTCATGAACTTAAAAAACCCTAAGAATTACTAGTATGAAACAGATAGTTGCAAATGAACTTAAAAAATCCAGCACTCCAGTTTGGCGATATCAAAAAGCAGTTTTTGAACTGCAACTCGAACACTAACGAGGTACATAATGCAAACTCAATGGACACATTTACAAAATTAAGCTAAATGATACACAGTGTCCTACAGGGAATCGAAGCGGAAACCAACTAAAGCGGAACTTCACTTTGCGGGTCCGCAACCTGGAATGGGAACCCTCCAGCAGGTCTAGGGCACTCGAAGAAGTTTCATAGACTTCCACGACCGGCACATCGAGGTTTTCCTTGATTTTAAAGTAAACAATCTTCAGTTGTGCGGGGTTTTTAACAGGACACTGTTGAAACCCATGTCTCAACTGCTGGGAAACACCTCAGGCCCAGGCTGAAGCTGAGAAAAAAAAAGAGCGAATGCAGATTCTGTGGGAAAATGGAGAAACACCAGAACATCTTATTGCCTGTAATATCAACTGTAAAAACACAAAAAATAAGCCGGTTTATCATGGGCTATGCGAGTGGCCAGTCCTATAAATCAGTGAAATGATTCGGGAGCGACGTTTCGGTTTTACTGACGGAGCTATGCCCAATCTCTGGAATTTACGCTTAAGTCATAGCCCGCGTCATCTTTTCTAAAACAGATTGTCTGGTGTCTTAAGCTTTACATTTGGCAAACGTTATCATTCGCTTTTATTTGGTCGCATTGAGGAGAAAATCTTGGCTAGTTATGGTGCCCAACCTTAAGTAGCCAAGATTTAGCTCAACCTTAACTAGCCAAGAAAAATAAATTGTCACTCGACTACTTAAAAATACAAATTTGTAATACATTTACAGGAATAATAAAACAACATAGACAAATAAAACAAACTATTTTATTAATAATAACACCTACCAAATTGTATACCTTAAGGTTGATTAATTAATTTAATCTTAATTTAAACCAGTACCTTTTGACATTATTTTTCTGTTGTATTAAAATCGTGTTTGCTTATTGTGTGATGTCGATATTTTTACAGCTACTCCAGTTTGTAGTATGTGTTTTAGTTTGATCCTTCTACCATATACGAGATGCACTTGTCTACGACGAAATGGTATACAAACTTTATCTATGGCAACTTCATTGGTGTAAGACTTTTTGCCTGGGTCTACAGTTAATTTTCCTCGATTTTCCTCCACTTGACTAGAAATACACAAAACACGTAACACAGATCAAATCTGCATCATCTTCAAAACGCAGGGTATTTAACAAAAGTTGACACAAAATTATAACTATAATTTGGCAAGACTTTGACAAGCGTCAAAAATGACAAAAATCTGAAGGCGAGTTCATACGCATCGGCGTCCATTTGTCCATCGTTCCGTCAAACCAATAAAAGAGATGAAATACGATCTATCATTTTTTAAAATAAACCAATAAAACTGGTTAAAAACAAGACACGACGCAACTGGTTTATGTTAAAACCAACCCATAGGTAACTTTCTTTTTAAAAATTATTAGAAACTTTTTTTAGTAAAATAAATAGATTGGTATGGGACGTCATCTGCTTTTCTTCTGTCATCGTCTGTCGAAATCTTACCTGAGAAAAAAAAACAGTGTATAGCTGATAATTTGTGAGATACAGAGGCCAACTTAATTTTTTTAAATACGGACCTGCATTTTTTATTTCAGGGTTTGAAAGAACTCGATCTGCTGAGTATAATGATATGCCACACTTGATACTTTTTTTTGTTTTGGGTACTTTAATAACAACAAAACTAGTTAATTATTATTTAAAATAATTTCAAGTACGACTCTGTTTTTTTAATTATTTAATCTGATTATATTCATCGCAACAATATTGTTCAGCGCTAATTAACAATCATTAAGGAAAATCGAGCCAATTCAAAGATTCAAATAAATAATATCCAGGTTAGCAATTTAAATATATTATTTTTAACTTTTTTTATTGTGAATTGGGAATCTCAGTGTATGATCTAATAATATTCATAATATTAATCAACTTCTATAAACTAGTTTCGAATGCTCTATTTGTTCGAAAGGCTTATCACCCTTCCTAATGCACAAATTTATTTTTTGCTCAATCTTATTTATAGCTCTTTGAACATAACTTCTTGTTATAGTTCCGAATGCATTTTGTACTCTTTATTGTAAATGTTGAAATGTATTGATTTCACTTTTACAAATGACGCCAAGTAATGCCCCTTTAGTTATTGCATTTGATTTTCAGTATTCAATGTTTTACCCCACGTCATTGTTAAGTTTGAAAGCTTATCAATATTGTAACGATGAATAGATTGAAAAAAAAAATTAAATGTGGCATATCATTGTACTCAGGAGACCGAGTTCTTTCAAAATTTGAAATAAAAAATGCAGGTCCGTATTTATAAAAAATAAGTTGGCCACTGTATCTCACAAATTATCAGCTAATTTGAAAATCTAAAAATACTATCAGATAGCCCTAATAAAGTGTCAATGAGAATGTGCAATTAGTTTTTGATTTCCTAAAAAGTAACGCCAGGAAAAATAAAAATGATTTTCAAAAAATCCGCTTTTTTCCAAAAAACTCAGCAATCCTTGAAATTTTTAATTTTTTTTTAATGGCATCTTGGTGAACATCCTAAAGCGCAACTTTGCCCTAATTTAACCGTGTTGTATCTATTACGGTTACCGAGATACCAATGTCCGTACCTCGAATTTGCAGCACCCTGTATAGCTTGATGTGACAAAAACCTTAATTAGAAATTGGAAGTCAGCTTCGGAAAAATAACTTTTTTCGTCAAAAAGTATGCGCGATTGCGTTTTTTACAAGGGACAAAAAATGTAGGTAGTAAATACTAGAAGCACAATTTTATGAAAAAAACATCGGTCGTTGGTTGAGTTGGAAATATTTATACTAAAATTTATGTAGGGGTGGGGGTAGTTTTCACCCTTCCTGTACTTTTTCTTGATTTTTGTGAAAATCAAATGTTAAAGCACTTTGCAAAATATAGACACCTAAAATCTCGTTCAAATCGGAATAACGGTTTTTAAAATATTTGAAAAAAAATTGTTTATTTTTCTAAGTTTGATGCCCTCTAACGGACAAACGAAGCACTTTTGTATAGAGGTAAATTGTGTCCAATGAACTGATTTTGATTCCAAAAATACGTAGTAGTCTATGCCCACGAAATAATGGGACACCCTCTATATTCCTATTCCCTTACTAATTTAAAAATAAAATTGATCTAGTGTATCTAGTTTCCTCATATTTTTATTTCTATATCGTGCAGTTAAGAAGAAAAAAATGAGCATTAAGCTCTACTTAAACGTAATTTTTTACCTGTCAGTCTTACCTAGTCAATCAAAACGTATGACGTAAAACATTGTATGTGGACAGAAAAACAGAAAAAAAAAACTTCTTATTGTATGCACTCGTAGTATTATATACGAAAACTATCCATCAATTTTATAACTTTTCAGATATACCTTGTAACAAGTCATGGATCTTCGAAAGAGTGCCAGGATCGACTTTAATAGGCACGACACAAAAATACTGCCAAACAACTTAACCAGAACCGCGTGTCAACAGGAATGCCTAAACGAAAAAGCTTCCAATGCAAATCTATCAAATTTAAAAATAAACTTTAGTTACAACGTCCCAGAAACAAACAGAAGTGTCGGTACTTGTGTTTTAAGTGATTCCGATAGACACTTAATGCCCAACTCCTATAGAGTATCGACTTTTGATGATGAATATTTCGAAACCAATGTGCAAATTCAGGTATTGAATCAACAGGCAGATAACTAATGATTTTATAAAAACTATTATTGTTTCGTTTTAGATTATGGAACCAAAGATTATTGCGCTTATGAGGAATACGAAAAACGTAATTTTAAGTCATGCAGACTTATTATATACGCAGAAAACCAAAGAGGAATGTCAAATACTCTGCGAGTCTTTCAATCGATTTAACTGTAGAGGCTTCAGCATTATCAGTGGCAAAACCAATAATGTTTGCTTGCTGCATAGTGAGGATAGTAAATTACATGGACCAAAGTTGTTGGAACCTTCATCAGATTCCAAATACTACGAGAAAGCTAGATGTCTAAACAGTAAGCCTAAGTTACATTATTTATAATAGTCTCTATTATTTTCTTCCTAGTAATCTATGTGCAATGCCCTTGAGTGTTTGTCATTAATAATAAAACTGTTACTTAGCGATATAAAATAAAAGACAAACGAAACCATTTATTCATTTATTTATGATAATAGACATTAATATAATTATTGTAGTTAATAATAACATTCTTAGTAGCAAAAAAAATATACAATATCATTGATTAAATAATAGCCTGTTGAAGTAGTTTTCAGTACTTTCTGATAACTTAATGGTTTGTTGTTATATTATTAATTTAGGTATACATTATGTGCCATTGGTTTTATAACTAAATAACCTGATTGCAGTAGAACATACTACATCTGGAGATATACAGGGTGGTCCAAACTGTATTCCGGAAACTTCGGCAGTTCAGCTGATAAAAATAAGTAAAAAAAATCGTATAAATGTATGTCCTAAAATGCTTAGTTTTGGAGATACAGGGTGTACAAATTTCATTTTTATTTTCATTTTTTTCAATTAATTTCTGAAGTAACGTCAATATTTGGATGAAAATTGGTTTCTGGGAGTTTTTTGACATGAGAAATTTGATTTTGATGTCAATATAACTCCTATTTGTAGGGGCGCCACTACATGTGATTTAAATGTTTTGAGGGTAAAACTTATTGAAATTTTAATTATTGAAGGTTAACTTTTCGTCCGTACCTGTATAAAACTACTGAGTGAAAAAATATACATTTCTGTGATTTTTTACGTAAAAAATGTGGCTATGAGCAACCGTTCTTATGATATTTAGATTGGAAATAGTTAATACATATCAGAATACAGTTATTGATTAAAAATAAACATGTTGAGTAGATAGTTATTTGAGTGAAAATGAAACTTTATTTTTTTAAATTAATTATACATTTTTCTTCGAGAAAATTATGATAAGACAGTTTCTAATGAACTTTTGGCACAAACACATTTCAAATTTATGATTTCAGTCTAAACACTATTTAGTCAACAAGTTTAATTTATGTCAATGATGACATGTACTGACAATTTCGATTCCAAATATCTCGAGAACCATTACTCGTAGCGATTTTTCCCAAGAGACATTTTTTACTTAAAAAACGTCGTAAATGTATATTTTTTTACTCACTAGTTTTATACAGGTACAGACGAAAAGTTATTACTTTTCAAACTAGTTAAAAAATATGTAGGGGGCGCCCTCTACAAGTAGGAGTCATATTGATATCAAAATCAAATTTCTCATATCAAAACACTTCTAGACACCAATTTTCATCCAAATTTTGACGTTACTTCAGAATTTGTCTGGAAAAAAATCGAAATAAAAAAGAAACTTCTACACCCTGTATCTCCGAAAGCAAACATTCTAGGACATACATTTATACGAACTTTTTTACTTATTTTTATCTGCAGAATATACTGCCGAAGTTTCCGGAATACAGTTCGCACCACATTTTCAGATTAAAGTAAAATAATTTTTCCTTTGCTATTTTTTCTTTGGATCGTGATTTAATAGAAGAACAAAATGTATTAGACATATGCAAAAAGGCAATTTTATATTTATTTTTATGTCTACAAAGTGTTCATTTTATCTCATTTTTGTGCTATATGACCATTTTTATAAGCATTTAAAAGAATAATTTAAATATTTTTTAATTGAACTAAGAATATATTTAGAGAAATATACCGTATGATCGAATAAAAACGGCGTCAGCGATGGCTATGAAATAAAGATCGCTGTCATTTTATATGTAAAATGACTTTGAATAAGAAGACTAAGGAAGGATCATAATGCTATCCATGTATTCATGCATGGTGGGCGGAAAAAGCACCATAAAAGCACTCTAGGGTGGGGATCCTTGACAGTTCTGTTTGACGATTCATTTGACACATTTGAATTTGATTTGAAATTTTGTGGATTTGTCAGTCTTTACGGAGCTTATTTTATGTTATTTATTATTTATTCTACTACTGATAGTTGTATAAAGGTAGTAAATCTAGATGGAAATTGTGGCAGCACTTAAATTAACAGTGACACTATCGCGATTTATCGAAAAAGACTCTAAAATAGTTGATTGTGTAGCGTGCGGTAGATCTCGGCAAAAATTGAGTGAAATAATGGAACAACTTTTTGCTAGTAAGTGACTATATAATATACATACGTGTAGTAAACCGATCATTTATGAAATTCACTTAAATTAACTAAATTATATATTTTTTTTGCATTTTAGCTTTTATTTATTACTTGTCAAAGATTAGATGTCAAAGAATTTAGATACGTTAATTTGACTTACCTGCTTCAGTAGCGTATCGGATGTTTATGGTAATAAATACTTATTATAACTTATTTATTTTTATTAGAATTATATATTTTTATAACAATTTTAATAACTACCAACATTTATTCACAACGTAAAATAAAACAACAAATTATTGAGTCTACCCCACGTCTACCCTACATCATAGTTTTACATTTTTTAAATAAAATTAGAACGACACTGATAAACCGGAATTTAAGTCGGCCATATTTGAGGCCCATCGCGGTGTACCTAAGATTTTTGATATGCTCCTTCCTTAGTCTTCTTATTCAAAGGTACAATTATATGGGAAATGTCATCGATCGTCATTTCATAGCCATCGCTGACGCCGTTTTTATTCGATCATAGGTATATTTATCTATTATAATAGGCAGAATGAAGAAATTAATTTAATTAAATAAATATACATCTAAAAGAAACTATAGCCATCATTCCAGCATACATTAGTATGCTGGAATGAAGGCTATAGTTGCCATATGAACTACTCGAAAAAAGTTAAGGATATTGTGTTTTCGCTAGGAAGAAAAGCACAAAAATGTACATTTAATTTTTGTTTAGAATAGAACTGTTTGCGTGTTGATAAGCGGCAGTTTGCGATATTGTGGTTATTCTCTCATCGATAATATGAACAGACGTCATTTAACAATACAGGAAGCAAATTAAGTCTCAAGCCATTGGGTTGGTTCTTGGCGGTGCGCTACAGATCGATGTGGCTGATCGATTTAAAGTCACCTAAAGTGTAATTTCTAGGCTTAAAAACCGATTTAATGAGACTGCTAACGTTTGCTCTTGTGTAATGAAAGAGCTAACTGGAATGATGAGTGGTATACTGCGATGTTCAGCGATGAAAGCCGCTTTTGTCTTCGTACTGATAGACGTACACAGTTCGTGTGTGCAGACTAAGAAATACAAGATTTAACAACCGATATGTTCAAGAAGGGCATCCCTTTGGAATTATAGGTGTAATGATCTGGGGTGAAATTTTCTATGGAGGCCAAACGGAATTGTATGTCTGTGAAGGTACAATGACAGGTGAAATTTATGCTGACATCATTGGAGAATCACGGAGGGCGTCTTATAGGCCTATAGCAATGCAAACCTGCGTTTTTTAATCGATTTAAGACTGTCCGGGGGGCAATACGTACCCCGCTGGCAGCCAAAAGGTCCTGGCTGAGCAACGTGTAGTTTCTTGCAGGATCCATCCTAGCTCCTCTCATTAAGCTTCGGTCCTCCCTAGCATTTGTCAACCTTGGTCCTATGCCTCTCCATGACAGATCCAGTCTCATTAAATCGGTTTTTAAGTTTAGAAATTACACTTTAGCTGAGTTTAAATCCATTAGCCACATCGATCTGTCGTGAACCGCTAAGAAGCAACCCAATGGCTTGATTTGCTTCGTCTACTGTTAAATGAGGTCTGTTCATATTATCCATGACAGAATAACCACAATATCGCAAACTGCCGCTTAGCAACACGCAAACAAATTCTATTGTAAACAAAAATTAAATGTACATTTTTGATGATAATGCCTTTTATGCATATTTTTTGCGTACAATTTTTTACGTTGACAAACAGTATTTTTTTTAAACATAAACGATATAGGTATTAATAGCTAGAACACATTTCTTCCAAAAAATTTTCTTCCTAGCGAAAACACAATATCCTTAACTTTTTTCGATTGGTTTATTATTTTTTGTGAATAAAAAACAAATATTAACAATATTAAACTTTTTTAATTTTAGTTAGTGTGTCATGTAGTGAAAGTTACATGACGATACGTTATCAGCCCGAACTAGAATTTCGAGGGAAATTATACATGCAAGGGAATTCGGAAAATCCGCAATGTTTTGTATGGGGCCAAGGAAAATTTAACACTATCACACTGAAACTACCTTTGCTCACCAGCCAATGTGGTATAATTAAAGCTGACAGCCCTACTAACAGGTAGGTACTGTAGGTACTTATTATTTTTTCATAAAGATATTGATGTCAAGGATGAAATAGATCACGACACGTTATCTATGAATTAGGCGTTACTTACTTAAAGGTCTATTACCTACGTCATGTGCGATGGTGTATGTTGTAATAATGAGTTTATCATAGATTTAAACACGCTGAACTAATATACAGTATAACCAAATTACACAAATACTTACCTATAAGGACACAGAAATATATTAAAAGGTCTTATTATAGATACTAAGCTACCCGTATTCTTGAATTAAATAATATAAAATGAATAAAAATTGGAATTTCATTTCAAAACACTTGATTTTTTGTAGTTTTCTGATTGTAATTTTTATCATTTTATGAGTGCAATCTATAATTATTTTTTCAAATAAAAATGTATCTGCAGTCCTGAAAATATTATTTAACGTCGTATGTACATAACAGTACATAACATATCGTCAGTGAAAGGTGAGAACCTGCTAACTCCATTTTTTACGTTAAAAAGTTTTTTTTATACCATTAGAAAGAGAAAAAAATACTCTATAAGTAGGGAAAGCAAACGTATTTTTTCCCATTAAAGAAAATTTTTTATTTTAACTCAATAATATCTGCTAACTCCTAGTGATCTGAAATAGCCACCGAAATGCTGCTATCTCCCTAATTTCCGTTACGATCATGCTAAAGCAAACACATAGATTCTTAGTCGTATGTTTTTTTAGTACAGTACGTCGATCCAGGGTTGCACTAGGCCAAAGGGGCCCGGGTGGCAATATAAGGAGGGGCCCGTGTGTTTTTTTTGCGTATTTTTTCGCCTTGCGTTTTGGTCAATTTTTCCCTATTATATACAGGGTGAGTCTTAATAAGTGCAAATATTTTTAGGGTAGTATATTTCGACCCAAGAAACACGATTACGAGGTTTTTTGCGCGATTTTTTTTTAAATTTGGAATTTTAAAAAAAAATATATTTTTTTAAATTTTTAGTTTATAAACATACTTTGTTTGTAATATGGTAACATAGGTAATACATTAAATTTACAAGAAAGGAAATCCAATGATTTTCAAAATTATAGCAAAAAATTGGAAATTTTAAAAGTGAAATAACTTGGTTGTTTTGGATTTATTTGAAAAAACGGTAAAGAGAAAATATTATGTTTCTTTTATCGAGATTTGCCAGCCCTGAACATATTTGCACTTATTTAAGACTCACCCTGTATAGAAATTAGGGAACTATACTCTGTTTTTTTTTCTCAGGTAAGATTTCGACAGACGATGACAGAAGAAAAGCAGATGACGTCCCGTACCAATCTATTTATTTTACTAAAAAAAGTTTGTAATAATTTTTAAGTTAACTACGGATGGGTTTAAATATAAACCCGTCATGCGTCGTCTCTTGTTGTTTTTAACCAGTTTTATTGGTTTATTTCAAAAATAACAGAAGGTATTTCAATTTTATTGGTTTGACGGAACGATGAACGACAAACGGACGCCGATGCGTATGAACTCGCCTTCAGATTTTTGACGCTTGTCAAAGTCTTGTCAAATTATAGGTTATAATTTTGTGTCAACTTTTGTCAAATACCCTGCGTTTTGGAAGATGATGTATTTTGATTCGTGTTATTACGTGTGTTTTGTGTCTTTTGAAGTCAAGTGAAGGAAGAATCGAGTGAAAATTAACTGTAGACCTAGAGCACAGTTTATGGTTAATACTCGCTGCCCAGGCAGAAAGTCTTATACACCAATAAAGTTACCGTCAATAAAGTTCGTATACCATCTCGTCGTAGATAAGTGCATCTCGAATATGGTAGAAGGACCATACGTGACCATACTAAACACATACTAAAAACTGGAGTAGCTATAAAATATCGACATCACACGATAGGTAAATAATGTATTTTAGTACTGCAGAAAAATAATGTCAAAAAGTAGTTTGTTTATTATAATAGTTTGTTTTATTTATGTTGTTTTATTTTTTCCTGTGGAATATTACAAATTTGTATTTGTATATAAGTTATATTTATAAATATAATCATAAATGCGGGAAGTTTCATAAAGCTTGAAAGTAAGAAATAGTTCTTTTTTTTATTTTTTTAGTATATGTGGTGTCTTGTTCGTGTTTGTTTTGTATTAACACATACCGTTTTTTATTAAATAAAATAACTCGATTACATTTTTTCACTTTTATACAGTTTTTTTTCACAATATTTTGAAGTAATTACTTGTCAGTCAAATTTTAAATATATTAATTTCCTGCTATGCGTTCCAGTTGTACCAACTTATTTCTTTGTAAAATAAAATAAACCACTTTGAAATTAAAATGACAGACACATCTATCACTGTCAAGAATCTTCTCGTTGGACAGACTATACCCTAATGCAAGGTAAACCAATGCAATGTAAATTCCATAATGAAATGCAAAAGCAAATATTGTTAAGAATAAATAATGAACTATAAAGGGGGCCCGCGAAGGCTGGCCACCCCCTAATAGTTATCTATATAATATGGCCAGTCCGACACTGCATCGATCCGTTCTGTAAATACGGGGTATCCGTAAAGGGTAAGGGGAAAAACGAAATTCTCTATATACGAGCAATATCGGCGTGCTATAAAGAGTTTAAATAACATTACTTACTTGTACAAGAATTTCCATAATACCTAATCGTAAATGATACATAATTTTTATAAAAATTAAAAAAGTAAGGAGAAAAGTAATAAAAATTTAATAAAATCACGCACTGGTCTTCCAAGTTCGGTCTACTACCGTTGTATAAAAATTAGGATAAGCATGGAAGGATACCATATCTTCTAAGAATTATAAGTTTAATTTTTAAATTATTTTCATATTCATTAAGTCTAAAATTCTGCTACTTCAGTTCTTTAAAAATGCAAAAAATTTTAAAATTTTCATTAAAAATTTATTCGTTTTTGGACTTGTATGTTTTGCTTCTAGACCGACGATATTATAAATATATGGTTATGAATATCATATTTTTTAAATTTAATTGATTATTTCTAAATCTGTTTGGGTAATATTCATTTCCATTTTCAAAATTTCAAACAATAAAAGTTGCTATCTCCAGAAGTATATTTTTATTTCTTATTTCTGCAAGACGAATATCTGCTATCTCCCTATTGTGTCTGAAAAAAATGACGCAACACGAAATATTGAGTTTTATTGTTCCCCAGCAAATAAAATTCTTATCACTTTATCATATTAACGCATCAAAATACCTCCTACATGTGTACATATTTTTTTGTACCGAGATTTTTTGCTCTCCTGTAAAATTAGGAATAATGGAGTTAGCAGTTTATCACGTTTCACCGACGATATTACCTTACAATTAAATACAAGTTCCTCAGAATTTACGATCGAGAAAAATAAAAAAATTTTCCTTGATTTAAATAAAAACAATCTTCAGATTGTCACAGGGTTTTTAACAGGACACTGTCTCCTCAACGAAAACCTCAGTAGGTTAAAGCTGGAAAAAACGGCGAATGCAGATTCTATGGGGAAATGGAGAGCTGGTCTCTGTGGAGCCGTCTCAGATACTAGTTTTTGTCAAACCTTGAGACTGTATATGATGATTTATAACTCGTTATAACTCATGACACACAATAGGTCTGTAAGGTCGCGGTGATTAACCCCCCTCCTAAACATTTTACATTCTACAATTATACAACTTACTTAAATCGTTTAGTATCCGAATGAGATCCTCAAACACTTTTAATAAGCTGGTTTGTGTGAACAAAAACCAACTAGTTATTTCTTACATATTTTCTCTACTTTTATAATACAGTTTTATAATAGTTTAAATTTTCTTTATAAATTCGGAAATGAAAGATACTCCTCAATTTTTTTTCCAGGTTAATTTATTGCATCTTCTTAAAAAAATCAAATATTTCCCATTGTGTAGAATGAAATAGAATATACAGGGTGGTCCGAACTGTATTCCGGAAACTTCGGCAGCATATTCTGCAGATAAAAATAAGTAAAAAAGTTCGTATAAATGTATGTCCTAAAACGCTTAGTTTCGGAGATACAGGGTGTAGAAGTTTCATTTTTATTTCGATTTTTTCTAAATAATTTCTGAAGTAACATCAATATTTGGATGAAAATTGGTGTCTGGGTGTTTTTGACATGAGAAATTTGATTTTGATGTTAATAATGACTCCTACTAGTAGAGGGCGCCACCTACATGTGTTTTAACTGTTTTGAAGCGTAATAACTTTTTGTCCGTACCTGTATAAAACTACCGAGTGACAAAATATACATTTCCAACACTTTTTACGTAAAAAATATCTCTCTGTAAAAACCGCTACGAGCAAACGCTCTTAAGATATTTAGAATGAAAACAGTCAATACATGTCATTATTGACGAAAAATAAACACGCTGAGTAGATAATTATTTCACTGAAATAATAAATTGGCTGTACTTAAACTGCTGTTAAACGGTAGCTTACTAAAATGCCGTTAATAGGTATGACGTCGTTGATGTGACGCACTTGACGGCTTTATGAAATATAAGAATTTTATAAGGACTAACCAACGCTATTTACGCTATCCACCCCACCAAATAACCAACGCAACTAACCTCGACATTGATAAAAAAATTTAAAAAACAAATATAAATTAGTAAAAACCAACCAACCCCACCAAATAACCAACTAACCAATGAATTAACACCCTCCAAATAATCACGCTAACCAACCCGTCAAATAACTAAATCAATCCAACCAAAAAGAGTGAAACCAATGCAATAAGATCACGCTATAAGCAAAAAAAAATATAAAAAAGTCTTGGTCAGCGTGAGGTTTGAACCCCGGACCAATTTTTATTTTTTTTTTAAAATCACAATTTTCTGCAAAAAATGATGATAAAACAGTTTCTGTTGAACTTTTAACACAAAAACATTTCAAATTTATGATTTCAATCTAATAACTATTTAGTCAACATGTTTAATTTATGTCAATGATGACAGGGATTCGAGAGACCAAGAAACCTTTATTACGTAAAAAACGTCGTAAATGTATATTTTTTTACTCAGTACTTTTATACAGGTACGGACAAAAAGTTATTACTCATCAAACCAATGAACCATTAAAAATATGTAGGTGGCGCCCTCTACTAGTAGCAGTCATATTGACATCAAAATCAAATTTCTCATGTCAAAAAACTCCCAGACAGCAATTTTCATCCAAATATTGACGTTATTTATTTACTACGAAATTATTTGGAAAAAATCTAAATAAAAATGAAACTTCTACACCCTGTTTCTCCGAAAGTAAGCATTTTAGGACATACCTTTATACAAACTTTTTTACTTATTTTTATCTGCAGAATATATTGCCGAAGTTTCCGGAATACAATTCGGACCACCCTGTATAATAAATAGAATGAAATGGTACATCATATCCTAACAAATTGTGTTAAAAAAACATGTTTTATACTTGTCTATTATTTACGCTTCTAACAAAAAATAAAAGTAAAAATTTTATAATGATATATATTTTTTTTATTTTAGAACTCTATTGGCTGGGACATTAGTGATACAATACAACGCACTTATACAGACACGCTCGGACAGAATAATAAAAGTTGGGTGCATCTTTGGAAACGAATCTAAAGTTCTAATTGGTACAGGAGTTAAAATTTCATCGTAAGTTAACAAAATAGCTTCAATTAATAATACAATATATTTATAAGTTCATACAATACCTATTCCTTTTGAGTCGCGGTCATTACGCTTTCTCTGTTAATGTGTCCTAAACAGGGTAATTCACTATTCCGAAAAGTTCAACGAAAGAGTAAAAAAACAGGTCATTTAAAAGACAAGAAATGTTAGTATAAAATTAAAAAATAAGCTCCCTGTAAGCTAAATCTCCATGTATATTTAAAAGTATTCTTAAAATAATAAAGGACAATTATTGACTCTCTTTCTTTGGCACCCGTTTTTTAAATACTGGAGTAATACTCTAAAACAGAAAACTTTATTTGAAGCTTTTTATGATAAAATAATATGGATATGTATTGATTTTTACAATTCCTTCGTCTATGAGACACCTTTTATTTTTTTTTGTACTTAGTTGCCATTAGAACGAAACAAAGTGCTCAGACTTAACACTTTTTAGATCCCTTCCTAATAAAGGCAGTACACTGTTAAACACTGCATCAAACGAAACTGTAGCTCCGGTAGTAGAGATGAAAGTCGTTGATTTGAGGTCCCAAGAAGAAACCATTGACTCGCAAATAGGACAAGAATTACAAATGATTATTGAACTTAAAGAAAAAACAAGTAAGTAAGGTTGTTTTTGTTTCTAAAAATACTATCATGAGATGTCTGTGCTTTTAGATACATATGATCTCTGGGCTAGTCATCTTATAGCAATGACTGAAAAAGGAGATGAATCTATATTTCTATTAGACGATCGAGGCTGTCCGCCAAACCTTAATATTTTTCCAGCTTTAAAAAAAGAAACTACAAATGACACTAAAAAATTAACTGCGATTTTTCAAGCCTTTAAATTCGCATCTTCGCCAGTAGTGAGATTTAGTGTAATTATACAATTTTGTACTGATGTGTGCAATCCAGTAAGAGAACATAAATAAATTTACAATTGACGAGAATCATAATATTCTATATTTTTAGATAAATTGTGGAAATAACATAGAATCATATGGCCGACGAAAAAGGGCAATTTTAACTCCAGTTCTAGAAACTATTAATGGAAGTACTACAATCAGGTCAAATGGCATCAAAAATAAAACATATTATAATAATTACAATAGCAAATCATCTGTAACAAATCAAATGCCTCTTGAATATATTATGGTTGTCAGAAACCCAAACTCATATTCAGACAGACTAATTGTTGGTGATAGAGATACTAAAATATTAGTTGCAGGTTACAGTGAGTATTCTATTAAATCTAAAACCGAATTTAGTATCACATCTATACATTCTAGATTACAAAACTGATGAAGTCTGTATGGATTATTCGTTAGTAATTGGCTTAATTATTACATGGATTATTGTGCAACTTATTTTTATTATTTGCTGTATTGTCCTAGTCCGAAGATACAAGAAGTATTATGAAGAACAGTATACTAGAGCCTCGATGGAAGAATTACACAAGAATTTTGGCATTGGATTCAGTAATCTCGAAAACAGAAGAGTACATTGGGCTGATAATGGTGACAATATAATGTAGTTTAAATAAAATTTTTCAAAATTAACATTATTTATTCCTACTGTACATAAAAATAAACTTTTAGAAATGTTTATGTTACATCAGAACTGTCGTATTGTGATTTCTTTAATTGTTTCGTTAAATCAATTTGTTTCTGTAGGTTGTACAAGTTTTCAGCCTTTCTACGCTGCCTTCTTTCGATATCATTCAAAACGCCTTGGTGCAATTGTTCCCTATAAAATATGTATTTTGGTAAAAGATAAAGTAAATTGAATGAAAGAAACTCACCGATCACTGTATTGTTTATAGTGAACATAACTAACTATACCGACAGCAAATGCTACAGATCCTGTGAGGGTTATTTTCGATGCTAACGACATTTCACACCGATAAAATAATTAAATTCTAGTAAAAGAAAACAAGAAAAATTAGTAAACAAGTTAGAAATCGATTTCAAAAAGATAGGTTAGGTTAAATCACTTGATTGTCAAAGTTAGAGAGGAGCAACAGTATCGATATTATGTTACGAAAAAAATCGATCTATAGTGAAATAAATTAGATGAATTCCTTACAACATTTTCAATATGCATTTATCAAATTTAGTAAGAGATAAATTATCATAATAAAATAATACCTATATAAATAAATAATTTCCCAGTCTATAAATTTAATAAAATTTTAATTAAAAAACTCCATTTTACTATCAAACAGTTTATTTCCTGTATTTACCCTAAAATCTAATTTTCACAAATCCAAATTTTACAACGTTTGAAAAATTACAGATTAGACGATTCAAGGTACTGCATTACAAGTGGTTATAATAGGAATTATGTTCAAATTGATGAAACATATAACAGACGTTTTCCATCGACAGATATATCTAGGCGAAGTATTAAAATAATGTCATACAGTTCTGCAAACTCGGCGGGTACTCCCCGGCAGGGCCGGACGCTTGGATTTGTTGAGAGGACTGTACGGCCGCCATTGCCATAGAAACTGGGGTAGTAGAGGGGTGGTAAGGGGCCTAAAAATATGACAAAATTAGAAAATAAAATAGAAAATATCCAATAAATTATTTTTAGCCCACCATACCAACAGGTACGGTAGGCTATTAAGATCGGCAAAAAAAAAGGTTTTTTAATTTCACTCAAAATTAGTTATTTGGGTCATAAATGACCTGAATACAAAATATTTTCTGTTTTATTATATGGTGTCTGTCTGTAACAAGATAACTCAAAAACCGCTAAACCGATTATAACGTAGTAAATTTGGCACACTAACTAAATACTGTGGCACCCGAGAATATAGCCATTAGTTTTTTGTGGGGGTGGGGGTTGGTAAGGGGGTATGGGAGAGGGTTAAAAATTTTGAAAAATCGCAACTCCAAAATTACAGTAGCTAGCGAAACGCGGTTTTCAATTTAAGATAAGGAATAATATTTGCAACAAAATTTGTAATAACATCAAAATCAGTCAAAGTCGCACTTTTTGAGATATTCCGTGTTTCCGTAGTCCGTTTTTGAGAAAATCCGTGTAGAGAACTCCCATCGGACGCGACCCCAGGTGGCGGATAGGGGAAATAACCGCGGATCAAAATGGGAAAAATTCCTTTACTTTGAAACTAAAAGAACTGCCTACCAACTTTTTATTAACATATTTTAGTATGGGCGGCTAGACGTGCCTCCTGGCGCCAATTTTTTTTTATATTCCTGGTGTTGTGATAAAGTCTGTGAAACGAATAACTTTGAATTTGACAGTTCCCGTGGGCTTTTGTAGTATTAATTTTTTTCTGATATTATATATACTAGTTTTGTACCTTTTGTTAACATTTGAATACGTTTTTTTCGTAATTAATTAGTATGATGCCACCGCCTACACCATAGGCGTAGTCAAAACATTTATCAAAAATATAAATATCCCTTCAACCAGCTAAGTTAAGAAAAAAATATGGCCACGGCACTGTTTGGTGCCATGGTAAAAATTTGCTCTCGGGTGTTATTTGCATTGTCATTGCAGTAGTCATTGCATTTTTCTTTGTTGTCTGATATTTAGAAATGTCAAAAGCTGATGACATTTTACTTTTGACAATTATGACATTTCGTTTAGGACTTTCCTTTTCTATTTCACGAAGGTAAAAAGAGTTACCTATCTGATTCGTTCAGGCACTCAATTTAAAAAATATCAGTAACTTTTTTTTTTGATAGAGGGATTTTATATTTGCCATGTTGGTAAAAAATAAAGGTCAAAATTCAAAGTTATTCATTTTATAGACTATACATATTTACTTAATAACAAACCAACCACTACTAAATAAACTCACTACCAAATAAACTTTTAGTCACGTGATTAAGCTTGACCCGCACAGCTTTGCCCACTTTTGTATATTTTCTTTTAATCAAAATATTTTAGGAAACAAAAATAAATTAATTATAAATATATAAACAGTTATTATTTACATCAATAAAACTCACCTTCTTAACAGCACTTAATTGACATAAAGGGCTATTACTACCTCTTTCCCGTTCAAAATATTCCAATAAAATTGCAATAAGTTTTTTACAGCTATTAAGTTATCTTGTACACTTCGCATTAAAAGAGCAAGGTCTGGTATTAAATATTTTGAAGCTTAAAGTATCACAACACTATTTATTTAAATCCAAAACTCGTAATACAAAACTAAAGTATCAAAACGAATGACAATGTCAGGAAATAAGTAAATAAATCTGAATTCCCAACGCGAAATTTAAATTCCAGTTAGTTAGCGCGGCGCGGAATATGTCCATGGTTGGCAACAATGAATTTAAAAGCCGATTACTTAACTAAAAGTTTAATTGATATCAAATATACAGAGAAGACCAGGCTACTAGTAACATAGCAGGACGAATTTACGTTTACCCGATTTGCGTTCGTACTTGAGATTCACTGCCGGCTAGTCGGCTGGTCAGGCAGTACGCAGTTGCAGTTGTGCTTGCACGGGTCGGTCGTGACAGACTAGGAATACGACGCGAGGAGTGCCGAGTATTTATTATTTTCATTTTAAGTGTTTACCTTCACTTAAGGTAACATTTAAAATAAAAATACTTAAATATTTATTATTTGATTGTGTTTACAAGCCCAAACTAAAAATAAATAAATTCTCTAAACCCAAAAAAAAACTAAAATATTACTCTAAATAAAAAAAAAAAGTTATAACAAGTGTTCTTGTGCTAGACAGAAGCCTAGGCAGTCGTAAAATCCCCGTCTGACATTGGCTAACATATTAGGGTTAATAGTTTGGAAAGCCTCTCGTATTTTTACTTGAAGCTCATCCGGATTATTAGCCCTATTATGACCATACACTTTGGATTTTACATAACCCCACAAAAAGAAATCATTGGGAGAAAGATCTGGTGATCTAGTGGGCCACAAAATAGTTCCATATCCACTAATTAAACGGTTGGGAAAAGTATTGTTCAAATATTCTTGAACAATACGGGCATTGTGGACAGGGCAACCACCTCAGCAATTTGATTACTTGAAAACGGAGATTTTGATCCGCGGTAGCACAAATGAACACTTGCTTTAACTCCTGTTCTTCATTAATCAACACATCAGGCTTTTTGTGTTTTTGTCGGGACACGCACCCATGTGTTGCAAAATTATTAATAACTCTTGACATAGTAGGTAAAGATGGAATTGGCCTGTTTACAAAAGTTTGTGGAAAAATTGTTTGTATATCCCGATAAGACCTATTTTGGAAATACCATTTTATAATTTGAATTTTCTCACGAACTTCGTAAACATCCATTATTTTACTTAAAAAATAAATTTTACACGAGAACTGTCGCGAGAATCTATGTATTCGTTTTGGCTATTAAAACACGAATAAATACAAATTCTGAAACATTCTTATCACATATCTACCTATTTTATTTTATCGCATTTTTTCGCCTGCTTTTTATCCGGCGGACGGGTATACGCCAATTTGTCCGGTTCTGCCTATGTTACTAATACGGTGGTCCGGTCTGTATAAATTTCTTTCTGGAAGGGGTAATTACCCCCCATTATCTCTCTCGTATATTTAAAGAATTCGGTTTCTACAGTCTTTTATTATCGCGAATAATATCTACAGACAAAACGATTAAAAAAATAGTCTTACCGCAGTGTTGTGATGAAAACGAGGATCCAACATCATTGCCGCCGCTACTGCGGCCGCCGTAGACGTAGCAGTGGAATGATTGGACCTGGCCAGCATCACGTGACTATTGTTATGCCCTGTCGAACTCCCGCCAGCCCGGGGAGTATGCGTAGCCGCGGCTGCGGCCGCCGACGAGGCCAGCAATTGGTTATGAATGTTGTGGGCGTGGGTATGGGCGTGATGAAAGTCAGCGGCGTGCTCCGCGAAATGGTGCGGGTAAGCAGCTGCGTTTATAGCTGAAAGGTAAATATTATTGAGTTATTCATAACTCCTTTTCAGTCCTATATGGTAATATTAAAAAGCGACAAAGTCGAGACATACCAGCTGGGGTGGGATGATTTTGATGATGCATTAGCAACTCTTGAATTTCTGGACCGCCCATTGGTTGGTTTACGTTGCTAGATGTGGTCGTAGTTCCGGAACTGGATTGGGAAAAGTTAACTGGGTTGTTGTTTGTCGAGTTGGAATTTGAAGTGGCGGCTGGACCACTCTCTGGACCTGACTGCGAAATTATTAAAAATTTATTCTAATGTCTAAATGCACCAACAAAAAAATATGTATTAATTAAATATCAAATATCTTAGAAGTAAAATACGCTGCTGTAGTTGAAGTAACGCCAATATATAAAATTATATCTTTTTCATTTATAAATAGGATTTTTTAGTGTCAATAATATATTAAATACAAGTTATAGTTGAAGAAATCACTGTGATATTTCTTCTAGAATTATATGATATCTTAATTATTTAGATTGTTTTTAATCTAATCATTTTTTTTTTATTAATTTCTAATTTTCCTACTTTATTATTCTAACAGTTGATGTTTACTATGTTCAGTTCAATTAAATATTTAAAAAAAGTTCTTAAAGCTAATACCTGTGACTTAGGCCTGGATGATGAAGATGAACTAGATCCATTTCTTAAAGGTCTAGCCTTATATGGTACCTGCAAGAAATATTTTTCACATATAACATATGCCGTATGATCGAAAAAAAAATCAGCGTCAAAGACGGCTGGGGAATGGCAATGGACAAAAATCTCTAAACTTCATTTACTAAAAATGACATAAAACTGGTCAAAATTAACACTCATTAGAAAAATATTAAAAAAGAATAGACCATTTCCAGACACACAAATCTATTTAAAAAAAAATTCTCGCGTTTTAAACACCATTTAAAACATTGAAATAAAGAAACACACACAGTGTTTATCAAGTTCAATGATTTAAAATCATTTTTACTCAATATAAAAATAAATTACAACCTTCTTAAGGCCAACTGGGAGTAACCGCCATTAAAAATAAAGTATGGGTCATGTAAATGACGTCTTTGACGCCGTTCTTTCTTCGATTGTATGGTATTATATACCGTGCTGGCAACTGTTACTTTTGGGTCGGTATTTACATGTGTGAAAGTAAATCGCAGGGATCTTATTAAGTCGGAGTGAGTTTGTTGGAAATGCGACGGTGTGCTGTTGCGGCGTTGCCGATACGCCTTTCCCTATCAAGTAAAATAAAATCACGATCGCAAACCGCTTATTTTTAAAAAACTTTTTCGAAAAGATAACCAGATTAGATATGTTTTTGAGCATCTGAAATGGAATTATAAGGATATCGTTAGTGTCCATTTTTTCATAACGAGAAATCATCAGTACATAATTGCGATAATTTAAAAACTGAACTTTTAACACGTAATACGCCATAACTTAAGAACACTTGTGTCTAGTCCCAGCAGGCAACTATTAAGCCCGACCAATCACGTTAGAGTTTTTGACCAAACACAAATTAATTAACACACTCCAAACAACCACGCTAACCATCCTGATTGGTCAAGCTTAATAGTTGCCTGCTGGGGCTAGACACTTCTCTTAAGTATTAGTATTTTAATAAAACACGCTTTTAGATGTCTCAAAATTTTTTTTTAATAAGAGTGACTAACTCTACATATATGTTTCGACTTGTTAGGCCTTTTTCAAGGGTTTTTTAAAAACTAGTCGTCTAACTACACTGGAACTATATATAATAAAAAATGTGTTTAGAAATCCTTGTTGGTCGTTAACATTATTTTCGTTTTTAACAGATTTTAGTATTTCTAACTGTTCAAGGTAATTTAAGCGTCTACCTTTTGTTTCCCTATGTAATAACTTAATTGAATTTTCATTAATTTTGTGACTATTTACTATACAATGAGTTGCAAGAAATTTCTTTTATTAACGTTAATAGTTTTACATAATATTTTATTGAGGTTATTTGATATTTTGTTAGTTACATTAGGAATGTAGTTTAAAAGTCGATAATTGCTATTGTCTTTAGAATTAGCTGAGTCAAAATTTTTCATTAATATTTTCTTTTGTTTTTTCTTGCGATTTGTTTAATAATATTGAACACTTTTTTAAAATTCTTTGGGCTCAGTGGGAACATTACTAATCTATGAATTAAACTATGAAAGGGAGACATTTTAATTTGCCAGGATTGGTGTGATTTACTGTGTATTACAGTGTCTGTGGTAGTAGATTTTCTGTAAATATCAAATTGTAATCTATTAGGCTGTTTTATAATTTTAAACCACTTTAGATATTGAAACTTTTTTTTATTTTGAAGACCGGTATTTTCACATACTGTCTGCGAAGAAAATATAGCAGAAATGTTAAGAAAGTTTTTGAAAAAAACTACAATCAGTTATTTCTAATAGGTTTCGAGATATCGATTTTTGAATTCAGAGTTCCCATAGCGCGACCACTGTCGAACACAATTCAATTCCACTTGTTTTTACGAAAAATGCAAGTATTTCTAACTTGCACTTAAAATTTTTCAAGCTATAGGGAAAATTACAACGACTCTTTAATAAATAAACAAATAAAAAATCACGAGATGTAATTAAATCGTGAAACTGAACGCATGATGTACACCTTTCCCTAGAACTTTAAGTACTGACAGAGGTACTGATTGGGTCGACCAGTCGATTGCGACAAATCTGCTATAATATCCCCTACCACGTCGCTTAGCAATGTGCACAGTTTCTCGGTTTATTACATACGTTTGGCAACGTGTTTACTGTTCTATCTTTGTTCAGTACATTGTAAACGCATTGTACTCTTCTTAATACGGAAATCTCGACCCAAGACTAACCTTTGCCAGCCCTTAGAATGTTACGGCTAAAATGGATACTTGGCTAGCTACTATACTTTTCAATCTAGCTAGCTATTTTGCAAACAAACATCCAACCCACAAAATAACAGCGTTTTTTGCAAAATAGCTGGCTAGTTTGGAAACTAGCAAAGTATTCATTTTAGCCGTAGCATATACACTTGATATGTTTTGAATATAAAATTATTCACGACTAGTTTATAACTATTAGCCCTAATAAAAAAGATCACAAAATCAAATTGAACTAGTTTGGCAAGCATGTTACTGATCAGTTTCATATTTACAAAAACCATGATTTAATATGACTAAATGTTAATCTAATTTTTTAAAAACTTAAGAAGCAATCTTCACCAAACAGAAAAGAAACTTGATATTTACCATAAATTATTAAACACTTTTAGTTTACCTTTGCTGAAGCATTTTCTCCATGATGCCTGGTAAAATGCTCTTTCAACTTATCCCTTCTGGAACTGGCGTAATCACAGCTAGAACATTTGAAAGGTTTCTCTTCCAAATGAATTCTCTCGTGTCTGACTAGATGAGACTTTTCCATAAAACCTCTG